CGTTGCAGTTGGGAAGGAGCCTGTCACAGCTTCGAGATCTTTCAGCTTCTTCCGGCAAAGCAGAGGAGGAAATTGAGGAATTTGCAAGCAAGCTTTTCTAACGATGATGAGCTCATTTGGATATTAAATTTTGTGGATACAAGACATGTAAATGTTAATGCTAACATAATATTATTTCGTAAATTTCCCGAGAGAGACACAAAAGATAATTCTTCTATTTTACTAAAAAATTATCCAAACAGATGTTTAATGAGAGATGAATTTATGAGAGCTTTATTGTGTACGAACTTTTGTTTTTTGTTTTTTAGCTGCAAGTAGCAACTTTATAAATATATTACGAATTTAGCTGAAGATGCAATGAAAAGACTTACCCATTTGGAGATAAGGAGTATGTTTTTATAAGGTTATCCGTTCTTTGGCTCTAGATAACTTTCTGACACTCTTTTTGATAATTATGTTTTTTAAGCTTATTCGTTCTTTTATATTTGATGAATTATGGTTAACATGGTAGATTTCTACTTAATTTGGCGTAATTACTTTAATTGCATAAAAAAATTGGATTTAAATGAAGTTGGTGCATAAGGTGCGTTTTTGAGCTAGTTTGGAGTTGGTTCGAAACAATTAAGACTAAATGGATGGCGCGTGAAAGTTAAGAAGGGTTAAGCCTAAAATTGTAATTGGCAATTTCTTAAGTCAAAATCATATTTTAGTTGAATCGTATTAGGAATCAATCGAGTTGTAATCTAACTCAAAATAGATTTAGTAAAATCCGAGTTTTTGTAAAAAATAATTTGGGGCCGATAGAGTTAAAAAAAAAAGGGAAGATCAAGATTGATACTTGAAGAAGTTGTTATCGAGAATAACGTTTTTCGCCAGTCTACCATCTAGCAAGCGCTCGAGAGGCAAAAGCAAAACCTCTGCCGCCTGCCTAGTGGTTGAGCGGCAAGTCACGAACTAGGTCACCTGTTTTGCTTCAAGCTCTTGATTTTGAGTTCTTCTTCATTCCAAACACTTTTTCCTATATATATAAATAATATGGTTGTTGAATCTTGA